TTTCACAACCTTCCTAGGCAATTTATTCCAGTGCTTAACCACACTGACAGAAAGTTTTTCCTAATGTCCAACCTAAACCGCCCTTGCTGCAATTTAAGCCCATTGCTTCTTGTCCTATCCTCAGAGGTTAAGAAGAACCATTTTTCTCCATCCTCCTTGTAACAACCCTTTATGTATTTGAAAACTTATGTCCCCCCCTCAATCTTCTCTTCTCCAACTAAACAAACCCAATTTCTAAAATCTTCCCACATAGGTCATGTTTTCTAGACCTTTAATCGTTTTTGACTAAAACAATGATATTGAGACACATGCACATCTCTTATTTAATTTGGATAGCATCCCTTCAGAACTAGTAACATTGTCCTGGCAGAGATATTCCAGAAAGAACCACCATAAACACAAGAACAACAAGGAGTCCGGTGGCATCTTAAAGACTAACAGATTTATTTGGGCATAAACTTTCGTGAACTTATGCCCAAATAAGCTGTTATCGATTAGTCTTTAAGGTGCCACCGGACTCCTTGTTGTTTTTGTGGATACAGAGTAACACGGCTACCCCCGATACATAAACACAGGCTAATTCCAGACAATCTTTGCTGGTACCATACAGCAGCTTCACAAAGTAAAGTAAAATAGTCCTCAGAACTGAGGTACCTTTATCCCAATAGCATCTTATGATGCCTCTCCCTTCTCATGTTGAAGCACACAGCAGCTACTATCAGTAACAGGCACAGCAAACCCCTCCAGCATACCTGGAGACTTTTATAAGACCTTCTATTTTTCCAGGTGTATCCGGGGAGTAAAGGCAGCTCTGCCCTAGTTAGTGCCTCCTTAGGGAAAGTGAGGCAGTGCTTGCTAATGTAGGAGAGCACAGACAAATGTCTTCATTCCTTCCTATAAAAATAACCCCAAGGAAGCTACCAAACAGCCTGTACTATCGACTAACTTTTCCTACAGCCTGTGTCCTCACCGGGACTACTGTGTAACCCCTACTGTACCCTAAAAACCTTACTTTTTTCATATTAGCTGTAGAAAAGTATATATTTAGCTTTAAACACTTGAGAAATGCATGAAAATCAGTTCAAAATAGGCAGTGTTTCTGTGATCTTACAGACCTACCGTGAGCAGATGAACAAGATCCTTATTAGCTTCTAAGGGAGGTGCCATCTCCTGGAGTTGTATCAGTTCATTTATGTGGTTATACAGAGACTGTAGTTTATGCACATTAATTTTTTGGTCCTCTAAGTAATTTGGCATGGCCTCATAAAGGGAGATCAGGTCTTTCAAGTGGACCCCAAGGATTGGGATCTTAAAGTTAGTGCACTCATTGTAGGCACGTCGATAATTGTCATAGTTCCTATAAGATGAGAGCAGTTCTGTCATTTCATTAAACACCTAAAGAAAATAAACAAAGTAGTAAAATTAATCGCATTTTCTGTTTTCATGATTTTGTTCATGTGAACATATTTGTCTCTTCAGATGGTATAGAGACAGCCCATATTCTTGTTTACTGACCTGTTTTTATCCTCCAGAAAGCCAAGCCAAGATTTACAAAACAAAACAAAACAAAATGAAGGTAACCCTAAAGGTCTAAATCTTCTGGCTTCAAATGAAACCTAGTTTACAACTGCTTACACAAATATTACTGCCGTTTAATAAAATTTTAAAAAGCAATCCGCCAATATTTTCAGATTCTGAATCACTTAATCCCTCAGATTTTAGCTTCACAAATTAAGATTATTTTTAATTAGATATCCTTAAAAATACAGCGTCAAGTCACCAACTCCCCATCTTCCCCCTCCCCCCACTTCCATCACCACGTATTTGGAATCTTTTAATCTGCAAATGGAATTTGGGGGGTGGGGGGGGAGGGAATAAAAATTGTTTGCCTGATGGTATCTAAACTGTACGTTTATGATACCAAGGACAGTGATACTGACCTTGTTGACCTCATGAGGAACATAAGAGCTTGTTTCCTTGAGTCTGGAGATAGAGCTGTGACAGAGACCTCCTATCACTGCCATTAAAGTATTGAAATTCTGCAACTGGTGGAGCTTCTGTATTGACAAACAATATCAATTACTTAAGGTTTGAAGTTGTGAAATGTATACATCCAAACTATGCTTTCCTTTTTAGCTGGGGCCTAGATACCGTTGGTTCTACAGAGTTCCTAACAATTTCCTTTCTAGCACATCATTCTTGGTTACCATTTTTAAACAATCTTACTCCATTTTTATACTCAAGCAGTGTTCTCATTTCTTGGGGTGGTGTGTGAGCTCTTCCTTTCTACAAAAAGCCTTTTTATTCTACGAGCAGAGAGCATCTCCAAAGGATGCCTCTCTTCAGTGCAAAGGTAAGATTTTAACAATATTCAGTGCTCCTGTTCAGGAGAATCTTGAGCATGTTCTCTTTATCACAGTAATTCACTAGCAAATAGGGTCTCTAAATGGTGACACCTCTGGAAGGTTAAGGAAAAGTCTTGAGTGGTTCAAAAGGAAGTCTAGCTGCTTTGGGCAAATGGGGTCTACAATATGGGTCTCAAGGGAGAGACCTACTGCAGTTGACAATAAGGTGATACTCGATCATTTGGTATAAAAACAGAGACCACTGCCAACTCTTCCTCCCAGCTGATCCCACTGGAGAGTACAAGTAGTAGTGAAGGAGGAATAATTAAAGGGCTGACAGTTTCAAAGAAAGGACATATGTCAAAAACAAAAAGGTCAAAGTGAAACTGACCTGTGCAACATGAATAAACTTGATGAACACTTCAGCCCGAAGCTGTGGTGTTGGCCTACTGAGTACCATTAGTTGTACCCATTGGGAGATACCATTACAAAGAGCAATGGACCTTTCCATTGTTGGATTCTCCTTTACACAGCTGTTTACAATGTAATTCTGGTAATCTGAGAACTAAAAAACAAAAACAAAATTAAACTTCATCCAGACTTTGTATATTCCATGAAGCCTCCATGCAGATATAGATCTTCTTGCTAAATAAAATACAGTGACATGTTATGTATTTTATATCTATAGGGTGGAAATCATCCCCCATCCCTAAGCTCTGCTCAGCACAGGGAAGTAGAGGGGCTTCAGTCTGGGAGCCAGCTGACGCTCCCCAAATGACTTTATGCCACTGTGATATAGGTAACAAAGCTCCGTTCCACCGTGCTCCCATCCTGTTCCCCCGGCATGCAATAATGCCAAAGATGAAAGGAGGACTGCTGGTGCAACAGGAAGCTATGCCTCTGACAACTTGACACGAGTTGAGATTTCCCTCACATAAGGGGAATTCTCTACTGGCCACCGCTGGCCAAAATATGTCCACTTCACTTTGCCTGAGTGGCATAAAGTGGCTGTGATGAACCAAAGAATCCAGTCCATAAGCTATACTATGACTGTTACATATTAATGAAATGGATTGGTGGTGGAATTCTCTCTCAATGCTTCTAATGTTTCACCTTCCTCTGCTGTGCTTGAAGGCAGACAAAGTGACAGGTATGTTGTTGTTTTTTTTTATTTAGAGCTGTTAGTAAGCAGCAAGCATCTTTTGAATTAGGATCTCTCAAAGGGAGGTTCTTGTGGGGTATGTAAGTGATCATAATTTAGAAATCCAGAGTCCAGCAACTTCTGACTTCTACTGTTAGTGAAAACAAATTGAGTTTTCTTCTATGCACCCATTCCAAAGGAAATTGACTGATGTGAATTAACTAAATATTACAGCCATCTTGTGGTCACTGCTCATGGTAACCATACAAAGATGCAGAAGCCCTGTCTGATGTAGAAGTTTTTAATTTACATTAACCTGCAATATGTGGCTGTGCATCTTGCCAAGGCCACTCATGTCTGAACCACGCACTCAAGTCAGTCTGAAGGAGGAAACAGGAGGTGTGTGAAAAGCATTCCCTGGGGTCCACCAGTCTTAGTTGCAGACCAGCAAGGGAACAAGGGTGGGGAGAGATACAGGGCCTTCAATCCTGCATTCCCAACTGGGATGGTCTAGAAGACTCAATCTGGCTTTGAGCCTTCTGACACAGAAGCTCCTAACCCTGGTCGGTAGGAGAGGCACATGTACTTGTCCCACCTTCAGCAACTTCATGGATTCACTTAATTCAGTGGTCCTTCAGAGAAGGTTATAGAGTGAGGTTAATGGCTCAATCTAGCCCTTGAGAAGTAGCTTAATTTTAGGGAAGATATAACTTTATCTCAAGGCACTGATTCTGATCTCACTTATGCTAGTGTAAATATTCCAATGAAGGAACAATTCCAATGAAGTCAACATAATTTCAGAATCAGGCTTGTGACTTCTTATTTTGCCAGGTAGCTTGCAACAATGTCTTATTTAATTTAACCACAATGGTCCAAAGTGTAAGGGAACACCTGCATTTGTTACAACAATCAAGAAAGAATGCTCATCTTTATCAAAGCACTTTGCTCATCAAGATCAAGGGAGATATCTGATTCCGTGTATTGAACCAATGTCCAGCCTTTGAATTTCCTTGATACTTCAGGATCATTTACTATGCAAGTATTTGATTCAGTGTTGTTTTTTTTCCACAGTATTTGGAACAATCCAAACTGTGAAAAAAAAATTAGGCTCAGATCCACAGCCTATGCACCAATTCTGACTTATTAAATTTGATTTTATACCAAGTGGAAAATTAATTCCTCTAGTAAGCCTATAAAAACAGAAACTGGAAGAGATGGATCTGTAATAAAAAGTAGTAAATTGTCAGCTCGTAAGGCTGCTTTATGTTCCCTACAGCCTCTTTCTTTCTTTTGTTTTTTTACTAATACGAGCTATCAACGGTTCAAAATCCATGTAAAAAAAAGTAGAGATGACATCTGACAACCTTGCTTTGTTCCTCTTGCTAAATTAAAAATGGAAGAAATATTAACAATAATAAGCAGAGTTGTCTGTGAGATTACAGACTGTTCACTGCCATTGTTTGAATTTTGGACCAAAGCCAGATTTGGCAGTAACATGGAACCCAAGCAGCCACTCTACGGAGCTGGATAATTTTTCAGGATTTAACTATATAATTATTGTCTTTGTATTGGTTTCAGTACAATCATTAATAAGTTTGATTAGATTATCTTGGTTACCAGAAGTTCTCCCTTCCGGAAAATGCCAGAAGACTTCCCTATAATGTTGGGCACATTTTTATATAATGTATTAGACAAGCTTTCAGAAGAATGTTGGTGTCTGAATTTATTATCAAGGTTATTTAACAAGATTGGAATGGAAAGTAATTTTGCATAGAGCAAATAAAGGTTAATTTCATTCAGAATAAACATACCTTTTCATCTCCAACTTGTGTTTTTACTAAGAACAAACACAGTTCATCTGCCCCAAACTGAACAAGATAAAGGCTGAATGAAACAACTGAAAACAGCATAGACTCATAGATGGCCATGTGAGAGATCTGAATTCAAAGGTCATTTTGTTCTTGCTCTAGCTTGCAGCATTGGAGCAATGATGTTTTCAGCTTAGAGCATTTGAATATCAGTAATTTATCAGCCCACCTTAGTATCTTTTTTAGATAATTATGGAGGGGGAATCTATTAACCATCCTGTTACAAGGTTGCATCCCACAACTAGTTAGGAAAAGAAGTGGAATTCAAATTGCAAAATTGTGGCCCAGAATCTCTCAGACCTGATTTCTGAATACTTGGGTATTTTTTGTAAAATGGAAACCAGCCCAAGTCTTATAACACCATTAAGCTGAGTTCACCAGTACACTTTCCTAAAAAAAGTGTAATTCTGTGTAAGCATCTCCTGAAGTTCAAGTGGCTTAGCTATTTCGAGATTTAGGACCTACACAGGTTATCAGACCCTACGAATAAACACACGTGTTATCCCACCATTTTGTCATAATTCCATCAAACTCAAAAGCTCTGCTCTTAAAACCTGTGCTTTTTTCCCCCAATAGTAACATCTTGTTCACACTGGACATGCTCAGAGAATTAAACACAGGCATTAAGACATTTAGATGGAATGAGTAGAAATTAAAGCCAGACAAATTCAAATGAGAAATACAGTTGGTGTGAGTGTGAGAGAGAGAGAGAGCGAGAGAGATTGGGTGTGTGTGTACTTTAAAAAAAAAAAAAAGACGAGGGAAATTAACCTTTGGAATAAACTGCCAAGAGAAGTGGTGGGTTCTCTCTCTCAATACCAAGACTGAATGCCTTTTTGGCAGATACGCTGAAGTCAGACAAGCTACTGGATCCAATACAGGAAATACTGGAGAAACATTAATGATTTGATGGTAACTGCTAGCCTTAGAATGAGTGACTGTATGAATAGTTACTCTCATGTTAGCATTACATCATCTAATTTGCATAGTCTCTCCCATAGCAGGGACAAGTATTAGGCTACCATAGTAGGGAGGCATTCTGCAAGGAGTTAAATAATCACATTGTTTAATGGATAGAGCACTTTCTTTTCCTAACCAAGGTCCCAGTGAACTAATTTTTTATCTCAGATTATCACTAGTAAAGTATGCAGGAACCTATGTTACACAGCTAAGTAACTGGCTGAGAACTATGAGGGAATCAAGACTCTGACTGTGCATCATACTTGTTATTCCCATTAATCATTAATTAATTAGCATCTGCACAGAGCTTTGAAAATGTTAAGCATTATATAAGCGTTAAGTATTATTACTGCCTACAGGTAGGACCCTATGCGTAAATGCGTGACTTCAGTCCCAAGGCTGTTAGATTTTAACATAACACATGAGGAGTCACGTACCTGGAGCTTAAAATAAAGTGCACTGATGCATGACTAGGAGAGATTTTTTTTGCAATCTGTTCAACATCCCTCTAACTGCAAAACTTACACTTCAGATTCTAGTGATACCATCCAAAAGATGAGTCTCTTTGTTCTTTTAGCTATGCATCTTATCTCAGCAGCTTTCATACCAGTATTGTACACATTTCCGGGGTGGGGAAAGGATCAGCTATACCCACAAACACACTGCCCTTCCTTGCTGCTTTGAACCTACTGTGCACTCTTTTTTGGTTGACACACAAAGAATATCAAACCATACTGGCCTTTTCTTTAGTGTGACAAAGAAAAAAAGACAGTCAAGTACAGCCCCAATTGGCCTGTTTAAAACGAAGTGTTACTTCAATATTTAAGGGGTTTCAGGGCTCTCCAGGAGCCCTTGTAAAGAAGTGCTGCAGCACCCCTCTGCTGTCATAGTGGGGTGAGTACCCCAGGGAGACAGAATCACGCAGCCTAGCTCCTGCAATGCTTTGCTCTCCCCATTCTCCAGTCACCCCCCACCCCAACCCCCATGCCACTTGCATCAGCTTAAACACTGTTTTGAGTGAAAGGAGATAGCTTGTTCCTCAACCTCTCCTTCTTGACCCAACCTACTGTCTGAACATAAGGGGGTCAAAACTGTCTGCCCTCTCCACTGCTAGCTCCCCTGACCCAATACAAACACTTTTTGAAAAAACAAAGTAAGGATCAGGATGAAAGTGAGTCCAACCACATGCACAGAAAGTTAGTTGTTTTGTTTTGTTCTAGCCAAAAGCTGATCACTTACTGATATTCTTCGGAAGGACTTAAATTCAAGGTAGGTGAGGTGGTCTGATAGCTCTTCCGGCTCTAGATGATCAAAGAGAAGTGAGACTTTCCTTTTCTTACTGGTGTTGGGCTTTATCCGCTGTGTAAGCTTTCGGGACCAATCCCGGGAATTTCTTTTTATAAAAAATAGGAAAAGGTTTACACTAAAATGGAGGTTGATTTTTGCAGGAAAACTAATTTACATTTCCCCCAAAACATGATTTATTGCAGTTGAAAACGGATGAATGATTTGAATTGCAAAAGAACAATTTCTTTATATTCATTATGAATGATGGATATTATGACATATGCAGTGTAGTTGTAGCCATGTTGGTCCCAGGATATTAGAGAGACATGGTGAGTGAGGTAATATCTTTTACTGGAAGTTGGGCCAATAAAAGGTATTATGACAACAGTCCTGTCGAATGCTTTTAGCATGCATTTTTAAAGTACCCTTTAAATATAGTAAAATTACATTATGAAAAAGAATACAGCCATAGTGATATCTCCTCAGCATTGTTGTTCTTAACTCTCTCCAGTTTGCTGTATCCATTGGATCAAATCCCAGTCCCATTAAAGTCAATAGGATTCAGTGGCAACAGGATTTGGTCTGTCCGTTATGCCTTGTTATTGCCCCTTATTGTCTTCATGGGCAGCTCAACAGAATCTCATAAGGAAGCTTATACTCTATGGCCAGCTATAAATTGTGGGTCAAATTCTGCTGCCTGTTTCTCACTCTTATTTAAAAATAGGAAGAGTCTCTTCTCAGGAGAGAGCCACGTGAGATACAGCCCCTGTGCACTTTATTTTTCTAGGTGCTCTGGGATCAATTCTTGACCAGATAATAAGACCAGCAACAACACATAAAATAACATTAGGAATTAGACATAATGAAATGAATCCTATATTGTCTCCCTAGTGACCTGAATTTTGGCTTTTAAAAAGTCCACTGTTTTACATCATGTACACTCTGAGTAAAATGTGTTCTCCTTTCTCACTGCCCTTTCAAGGAATTAAGTCTTTCAAAATCTTTCTTCACTTAAACACACTGTGTTCCTTAGAGTGAAGTTTACCCTGTGCAGAGGGTCGGCACAAGATCTCTGCAGCAATTAAGTTAAATTGAAGCCATATTTTGAGAGCTTTAATGGGACTTAAATTGTCACATGCTGGCCCACTGCACAGGGGTAAATCTTTTGCACATTGCTAATATCAGACATTTGGAAATATTCCTAATCGAGCTGTTGGAGATTGGTTACTATTATTTTAGGGAAGTGAGATGGCAATATTGTTTTGTTTTCCAAACATATTAAAACCTTGACACTCACATTTGAGTTGTGTCAATTAGGCGACAGTGTAACTCCTCACCATTAGCTCTCACCAATTTCTGAAATTCCTCCATGGTGTTAATTAGACTAGAATCCATTTTGAACATGATCCAGAACTCTGTTATCCAATACCTATTGTGAATGGAAAATAGAATAATAAAATAAAGAATTTTGCTGGTTATTTGTGTAACTGAAACACCAGTAATGCTGCAAGGCAAACATCCAGTCTGGTTTATAACTTCTATGCTCTTTTGGTCACTCAGATTTTAAATTTTGCTTCAAAGTACCTTCTCCAAAGTACACTGTTCTATCCAAATAGAGAGTTTATAATGCAAGAATCAAACACTTGTATTGACACTACCAACTCTGTCTTATTGCTTTGTAATGACTGTGTATGTGACAAACTTCTACCTATCTGATCATCTCACCATAGTATCTACACATACATAAATATTAAATAACACAGTGAGTTGGCTCAGTGCTCAGACCTTTAAATATATTGGGCAGATCCTCAGCTTGTGTAAGTCAGCATAGCTCCACTGACTTCAATAAAGCTACACAGTTTTATACAAGCCAAGGATCTAGTCTATTACTTTTTCTTTATATGGTGCTTATCTGTACCACCAAATTCTACAACAAACTCCTTGTTTTTTTTAAATCAGTTAGTTTGACAGTGAAGTCAATGCCTGGTTTATTTTTCTTTATTATATATTGGGTGGGGGAGTGGAAACCCGCCACCCACAAATAAATAGAAATTGTTATGGGTGATACAGTTTAACTTGATATGTACAAGATATTTCCTGAGAAACAGTGCCTTGTACATGAGGTGGTCAGATTGCATGTATTAGGTCTCATCTTTCCATTCAGCTTATTTGGCTTGCAAGCCATGCACACCCAAAACCTGGGTTTGCTCTAATAAATGGGCATATGTACTCTCCTGTAGGTGTGTGCATTGTGAATTTTACATGTGCACAATTTGAAAATGTATTCCATAATATCCTGTAAAATACTGAACCATTCTGCATTAATGAAGTACCCCTTTTTGAGGTAGTAAAATGGTCACTATTGAAAAGCCAACATTTGCCCGCATCTACCATTTATTTCCTGGTCTAAGTACTGATGAAAGCATTAGTGCTATGCAAAAATTGTTGGCAAATGATGACTCTTTAATAAAAACATTCTTTAACTAATATATCAACCATTAAATTAAATGTAATAGAAGGAAAAAGGAAATAATTTCCTAGGGTAATACTGCAGTTGATTAAGTACAACTCCTTATTGAATGCAATCAGGAGTTGTGCTTCATATTGATATAGCCTAAGTATTCAACATTGCTTTATTTGAAAGAGAAAACTGTATGGTAACATAGGGCCCAATTCAACCAGTTGCTGATCACTCTCAACTTTCAGTGATGTCAATACAAGTTGAGGGCGCTCAGGCTTTTGGAGGCTCAGGGTCATAATTATCCACCCATAACATGTAGCTGAATTCATCCATTGATTTTAATGGATTTGCACCAAACCATTTGGGCCATTGTGCATAGATCTGTGCAAGTAAAACTTTAAGGAAGTCTATGGGAATATCATTCCTCTTTTGAATGCTAACTTAAGAAATGCATAGTCACTCTTATTTGTGGCACCACATGACCAGCTTGAACAGTAATTGCTAGCATGTAATTGTATCACTTATTTTATTTCACAGATACATTTATGCAAAAAATTCTTACCTTACAAAATAGCATATCTTTACACAAAGCCCAGATTTCTTTTCTAAAGCATCCAGATATGTAGAGAACTGTTAAGGAAAGCATGGCAGTTCATCCACGCAGGGCCGGCTCCAGCTTTTTTGCCACCCCAAGTGGCGAAGAAAAATAAATAAATAAAATAAAGCCGCGATTGGCGGCACTTCGGTGGCAACCCTATCGCACCGCTTCATTCTTCGGCGGCCAGTCCTTCACTCCGAGAGGGATTGAGGGACCTGACACCAAAGACCCGGACGTGCCACCCCTTTCCATTGGCCGCCCCAAGCACCTGCTTCCTGCACTGGTGCCTAGAGCCGGCCCTGCATCCACGATCTGAAACTTGACATGTTCAGTATTTCCTAGGGCCTGATACAATGCTCACTGATTGAAGCCAGTGGGAACTTTTCCATTGCCTTCCATGGACATTGGATCAGGTCTTTGTGCATGTTATTCTTCTGAAATCATTAGTGAAGGACAGATATAAATAGGACAGTTATAAATAACACTGACGTATTTCATCAAGTGCTGAGAGGTGTTAAGTAGTTAAATGAACCTTTGCTTTTTAGTTTGCTTCTTGGTAATTTGCTTCCCAATTTTCATTAGGACTTGTCCATTCATACAGCTTGTTAACATATGAAACAAAAGGTTATAAGCAAAAGGTTATAGAATAGTACTAAATTCATCAAGGACCATTTTTATGGAGAACTGCCTGTTAACTGTTGTGATTTACCAGAGATAATGCTGGAGAGAAATATTTTTGAACTGTGAAATATATATGTGGAATCAAGTCCCCTTTGTTTCTACTATTGTAGAGCAAAATCCCCACACTTTAATATCTAATCTATCTATATTCTTTACAGGTGATGGACCTAATTTTGCCTTCATTTACAAAGGTGCTACTCCAGTTGTAGTTATTATTGATTGAAAACAGGATTCTTTTCTTGACCCTGGGAAGCAAGTTACCTCTGTAAGTCAGCTATTTGTCTGGTTTACACTGTAAATGGGAGTGTCTCAATGTAAGTGAGAATTGAGCCCCATATCTTGTTATTTCTGAGGAAATGCAGGACCCTAAATTAAATGCCACTTATTCTACACTCTAAAAAGTAACTGCTTGATATCTTGGATGCTGCATAGTGTGGGTATCTAGGGAAGTCTGACTACTGTCATGGCAGGTCTGTTTTGCACAGCTATACTAATTGGAAACCAATAAAAATTAGAGTTGTGGGGGGAAGTACTAACTAAAACAAGTTGTACCAAGTAAATGCCTGTCTCAGAGGTGCTTGGTGTCTCTCAGGATTGGTCCCTAATTATGTTATGATTCATTAATTATGAACAAACATTCAGTAAAGCTAATAGAGTTAGGCAGTATCTTCCACAGCTATGAATCCTCTAGATAAGAGAGAGCAGTTATGCCCATATTCATGCTCTTAGCATCTTTTTTATGAGCATCTGATGAGCCACAAACTAATTTTGTGAAAATATATTTTCACAAAACATTGAGGCCCCAAAATACGATAATTAGTCTGGGGATTGTTTTAAAATTTACCCACTTCATTTTTGGAACATTTTAACTTTTATTTGCATGGAGAAGGTAATCCAAGACTTAGTGCATATCTTTCGATGATTATCTGACATAGACTAGGTTAGCATAATATGAAATTTTTTCTGTACATAAATAATTATAAACACTGGGTCTGAGATTGCAATTGCCATGTAATTTTCTGGAAAGCCTTCTCCATATATCTTCTACCCTAGATCACTGATAACATCTTCCCAGGTTTGTTTTAAAATATGAAGACTTTTCTTCAGCACTAAATTTAGCCTTTCAGTCATCATGAGATGCAGAGGTGAATGCACCAATTTATTAATATTGACCTGTAGGTTGTATACACTTACCATTCTGTCAATGTATTTCTGTATTACCTTACCTTAATAACTACAGGTAAGCATTATAAAGGATATAGATCAATTAGTTTTCGGAGCACATCCTCAGAGGGGATGATAACTCTGTGCATGGTCAGTGTTATCTGTAGCAGCTGGTTGTTTTGATATAGGTTTCCCTCTGAATCTGAAAAGTGAGGTGAAACATTCTTGTCAGGAACATAATAAGACTTGTCATACAAGAGAACAGGGGTTTTTTCAGCTTTCCTGTTCTGATCAGGCCCGTTCACCTAAGCAATATCAGAGACAGTAGCTACTCTGTTGCATCAGTGAGATGAGATTATTTTGCAAGCAGAGATGCACAGAAACAATTTGTACTTGCATAGAATATTTCATCCAAGGATTTGGAAACCATTTACAAAGATTAGTTCATCCTCAAAACATCCTGCAAAGATACACAAGCATAATGGCCCCAATCCAGCAAAGCACTTAAACATATGTATAATTTTAAGCAAGTGAGTATAACCATTGAAACAAATTGATAAACTGAGGTGGAGAGGTTAGGTGAGGTGACTTATCAAAATCAAACAGTGAATCAGTAGCAAAACTGGATGTAGGTCCCAACAGGCAGATTTTTAAAAGGGCACATGCAGTTTTTTGCACCCCTAACTTGCATGCCCAAGACCCTAGTGTACATAGAGAAGTCAGGATTTACACTTGCACACAACTATGCATGCACAATCCTAATAAGAGTGTGTATATCAGGAGATGTTGCATGTGCAGAAATCCAGCTATGTGCCCACTTAAGAAACAAAAAGAAAAAAAAAATCTAGCCCCACAAGTTCTCTTACTAGTACAGTGAATGTAATGGATAAAGTATTAGTTTTTATATACAAATTTGTGTTTCTCATATCTGTACTTGGGAAGAATCCAGGACATCAAGTATTTCAGATACGTTTAAATTAACATTACTGTAAATTTGTTACATAAATGCAAATATAATTACACAGTATTTTATAAACATTCAAAGGTATTTTATATCAACTCTGGAGAGAGAGGCTTCTCCTCTTCTTCTTCAACGCTTAGCCAGACAACCGGTCGTAGCAATCGTTTGCCATTTGGTCTGTTCCTGTGCAACCACAAAGGCTTGATGACCTGAGAGTACAACATCGGAACAGACTTGGTGAACCCATGTAATAGGGGGTCTGCCTCTGGGCCACCTCCACCCCTTGGTTGGTGGAATTTTATCCCAAATGTTACAAACCACCTGGAGAATGACGTTTGCTGGAATGTCTTGTGGCATCCTTGCGACATGTCTGAAAAGCATAAGGCGCTGCCTGCAGACAATGGCCCCAGTAGTCTGTAGACCCAAACGACCATGGACATCTGTATTACAGATGAAGTCATTCCACTTTATTCCCAATATACTACGTTGACATTTTGTGTGGAAAGCCTCCAGCTTTGTCCAATCTGTGTGGCGTAGTGTCCATGTTTTGCAGCCGTATAACAGTATGGGAAGGATACAGTTTGAATAAATCCTGAACTTGGTTGTCATACTAAGATGTTGATTCCATATCCGTTTTAAACAGCCCATGGCATATGCTGTGATGCCAATCCGATGAAGACCCTCCGTGTGAGAATTGGAGGAGTTGGTAAGTATAGAACCCAGATAGCAAAAGCTGGAAACTGATTTGATGGTTTCGTTGTTCAAGGAGATTGGAGTCATGGGTGGACCAGGTTCTAAATTTTGCAGTTTTATCTTTGACCCATGAAACACTGAGACCAATCTTAGCTGACTCCTCCTCCATATGCTGGAGTGCCTCACGAAACCTGTTGGGACTCTGTATTAAAAGAACAACGTCATCAGTGTAGTCAAGATCTGTGAGTGAGAGATCACCGATCTCAATGCCTGTGGACCTGATGGAATGCTGCATTACGAAATCCATTGCCCGACAAAAGAGTGCAGGGGCCAGAATGCAGCCCTGCCTAACGTCAGATACTGATTTAAAAGGCACTGACAACCGGTTCCCCAGACGAACACGGGCAGTGGTTCCATTATGCAGTTCTCTAATCAAGTCCAGCAGAGTGGTAGGGACACCTACGCCCTTTAAGGCCTTCCATAACGTGACACAGTCTACTGAATCAAAAATGCAGCCTTAAGATCAACATACGCTACATGCAGGGGCTTTCTGAACTCACAATGTATCTCTGACAACAAGCCAAGGGCCAAAATGGCATCTAATGTGGACCTTTTCCTCGTAAAGCCTGACTGTTGGGGATGATGCTTCCGGTGTAGCAAAGGCTCCAGGCATGCCAGCAAAACATGCGCAAACACCTTCCTTGGAACGGAGAGCAAGGTGATCGGCCTGTAGCTCTAACATTCACTGCACGGTCCCTTGCCCTTATAGAGTGAGATCAAAATACTGTCCTTCCAGGCGGCTGGCAGGGTTCCACACCAGACGAAAGATGGCCAGAAGTGATTCTGCTGCAGGATCGATAGCAAATTATAGCAGCTCTGAGGGATTGCCATCGGCACCGGCTGTGCGTCCGTTTTTTCAGTTTAGAGATGGCACACTTCACTTCGTCTAATGTTGGTGCATCAGTACAAATGTCTGGATCCAGAACCGCAGTGACTGCCCGACCATCCAGCTCTGAATAAGTGCAGCTGGAGGACGGTTCAGGACACTATGATAATGTTCCACACAGCGTGAGAGAATGTCATCATCCAATTTGCATGGATGGCCTTGGCTGTCATTCAGGATGCCATTTGTAGGGACTACCTCTTGACCATTGAGGTTGCGAATGGCACGGAATACTAGCTTCAAGTCGCCCCTGCCTAAGCCAAATTCGACATCATCCGCCACTTGGTTAATAATATGCCTCGTGATCGCGGAGTGCCAGGGTGTTAAATTTTCGCTTCAGCTGATTACGAGTGCCCTTATCACCATGCTGGCAGGCTGTGGCCTTCAATTTAATTATCTGGAAGACCTCCTCCGATAGCCAGAGTTGGCGTGCTGGATGCCTATAGCCAATTGTCTGCTCAGCAGATTAGTTGGGGGTAGAAGTGAACAGGGACCAGGCAACCTCCACGTTGTCTGGCAGATTAGCTAGAGCCGAGAATCTGTTGCTGACGTCAAACAAAACCTGTTGGCTAAACCTGGCACACAAAGTGAGTCGATGTCAAACTTCTTCATCATCACAGAGGGCTTACCTTCTCGTTGGAACATCAACACCATACGGGCAACCACTAGATGGTGGAGAGGTTGTTTGGTTCAAATAGAAATTGGATTGATTTGTGATTTGAAAATAAAATGTAACCTGTTTGAGTGCTTTTAAATATATTCTCCTCTGAGAGCCTGCATTTATGTTAATAGTTGAGAAGAACAGCTGAAAACTAAAATAGCATAAAAATATTCTTGAAACAATGCTTAATGAGAAGGCAAAATGGAAACAGTAGGCAAAACTCAAGAAATGCAGCATACGTAGCTGCATATATTATTAGAGGAAAAACATTTTCAAGTTACAGATCACCCCTATGGAAGTGTTGTCAAGGTTAATCCACCTAAAAAACAATATAGGGAAGCTGTCAGGTAAGGGTTTTGGTGCTATCAGAAGGTCCCAACCAGAGAAGGTGGACTCCAGATCTGAAATCTCTCCTGCTGATCCGTAAGTCTTTGCCTAAAGATACAAACTCAGCCTCTTTCTCCTGTGTCTGAGTTGTACATCAAAAACTAGGAGAAGCTGGGTCACTTTTAAGTCAATAGTTTGTAAATTTCTTCAGCCTTGGTGCCTCAGCTCACTCACTTTAATTATGATTTCTGTATTATGGCTCTCCCTGTGCTAAATACAGGATGTCTAGCAGACAAAAGAAGATACAGATCTACCATCATTTCATAGCCAGTTTTTATTGACTCTGGAAACATCCTAGAACTTCTCCCTAACCCATCCAAGTCAATTTAGGGTCCTTATAACCTTGTGAGATTTTGAAACATGTCCCACTTCTTCTTGAATGTATTTACACTGCTTACTTTGGTTGCTGGCTGTGAGGGGTGTTCACCACACACAACCCAGGAAGGTGGGTAAGGTAGCTCAGAAGGGGCTAATTAACCTAGTAGGCTACACCTGGAGGGAGACTAAGGCCTTGGCTACACTGGCAATTCACAGCGCTGCACTTGCTGCGCTCAGGGGTGTGAAAAAACACCCCCCCGAGCGCAGCAAGTGCAGCACTGTAAAGCGCCAGTGTAATCAGCGCCTGCAGCGCTGCACGCTCCCTCGCAGCGCTGCAAGCTACTCCCCTCGGAGAGGTGGAGTACTTGCAGCACTGCGAGAAAGCTCTCGCAGCACTGGCGGCGCGACTACACTCGCGCTTCACAGCACTGCCGCGGTAGCGCTGTGAATCCGCAAGTGTAGCCAAGGCCTTAGGCTTGACTAACGAGCATTAATTGAAGATGGAGCTCATTTGGGCAGGAGTAGGCAGGGCTTGTCTAAAGCAAGGAAGAGAGAACAGAAGGGGGCTACAGCGTGGAAGTTTGCAGTCACTTTCTAAGTATAGGGGGGAGAGAAGAAGAAAACCTATTGGGGGAGCAGAAGCCCTGGGATCCTGACCCCTGAGGAAGCTGGAGAAAAAAGCCTGTGGAGGGCAGAGCAGGAAGGAGAGTGGGAAGACTTGCCTGGAATGGCATCTGGAAAGCTACTCTGGAGAGACTTCCTTACCCTGGAAGGGGAAAAACTGTATAGTGATCTGGTTGATGGGCCAAGCAACAAAGACAAAGCACTGCAATTCCTAGAGAGCAAGAGGGGCCACAGCATGAGCGAGCAAAGGAAGGGGATGTCAGACTGGGCAGAGCTAATTCCCAGATGCAGGCACAAGGGGTGCCCCAATGGTGAGTAACCCCCGTTATGCTGGCTCTGACAAATGGTTGTGTGTTTTGTTTCTTGTACCATTTTTGGACTTACACTGTCCAAATTGTTTAGACGGTAGTTCCCTCTTCAACATCTGTTTGACTAAATCTTGTTTTAGAATTAATAGCAGTCTTCATTTTTAATGATGCACTAACTTTCTGGATCATTTGTAACTTTTAGTTGTTTCCTCAACCCATCAGCCCTTTTATAAGCAATCAAGCTAAATCTGGTCAAACTGAACTAATTTACATCCCTGTAATCTGAAATATTTTGGCTGCACTCCAT